GAGAGAGAGAGAGAGAGAGAGTTTGCACCTGTCGCGTTTGTTATTGCGAGCGAAGCCGCAACAGGTCATCTAGTGTGTTGCTGAAAACCTTCGTTGTTCTCTCGGTGTCATAATAGTTCACAGTGGTCAGCAATGACTTAAAGAGTGTTTTCTTTTAGCATACCAGGGATATGGACATCCTGTCGGTAATCTGGAGTATTTTCTCCGCATAATATGGTTGGACTGGATAAGGCTTTAGATCTTGATGTCTAGGTTCTTCCGAATGTGTGTTGGCTGGGTGTGAGCACATCCTCTGATTTGGTGTACCATGGTGTAACGTGGTGAGGACATCCTCTGATGTCTAGGCTCTTCGGAACGTACACCGTATGGATTAATGATTTCGTGTACAACGGTGCTGTGATGACATCCTATGAATGCCGTACATCGCCCAGAATCCTACCACCTGGATTTTGGACATCCTCGTGATGCCTGTCCTGAATTCATCAAAGAATAGTTGTAGACATTTGAAAGAAGGGTGTGCAGCATAGGATGGACTGCGAACAGCTGTATTTTTGTCTGTTCTGGTGTGCGGACCTCGTCCGCTTCAATCTTCACGTGGGTTACTTTGGTTCTCTGACATGGCCGGTACTGTGCATTCTTTGGTATGCAGGAGGAGACTCCAAAACTCTCATATTGGTAAATGTGTCGCCAAGCTTCAATGATGTTCAAGAAACGCTTTCGTCACTGAGCTTTGGCGCACGTGTAAAGAACGTGGAGCTTGGGCTGGGGAGTAAGGATACCATCAAGAAATTCCGGGATATGGTAGGTGCAATGCAAAGCCTTGTTTGCTCTCTGAACCCAGTGTGCATGTCAGAAATGCGAAATTTCTTCCTGCTAAATTGTGGAGCCAGTCTGTCAGTGACTTGAACACATTCTACCATGTTGTGAATTGCGTGCAATACTGTCCCTGAATGCCCGTGTCGACGGACCAACGATAATGGCTGGCTCTTGCATGGGAAGTGGTCTTCAACAGAGATGCAATAATATAGATGGACTCTGGACCTGCTTGTCCTCACAATCTTTCTGTGATGACTGACTGGAGTACTCTTTATCGTGTTTTTTTAAACCACCAGTACTTGTGACAATTCCCTTGCTGTCTGGAAGCGCCTTGCTTGCGAAGAAAAAAATGAGCTTGCACATTTTCTTTTTTGGCTTTAGCTGCAGTAGGCTGTGCACAGGAAGTTGTGTCGCGTTAATGGCCGCGTCAGAGAAAAATGGCTGGGAAAGGTACTGGTGGTTTGACTTGTATTTCTTTATGTGTTATGTCTGAAGAAAACCATATGTTTTTCTTGCTTCCAGTTTTTTTTTTATGAATAAAATGCTGTCCCCAAAGTGTAGGCATGTTTGGGATTTGAACCATAACATGTACACAATAGAGAAGTAACATGTTCTTCGCCGTGATCGTTGGCTATTGACTCCAATCCTGACGAGTCTCTGATTCTCTCTTCCCGTATTGTTCATCTGTTTTAAATGGTAATCATATTCACTTTTCACCAGCTGTTGATTCCTCTCTCTCAACGTTTGTGGTCTGGATTCGAAAGGCAAATGAGTCAAGGAAGGAGCTATATGAGAGGGAAAAGCAAGCCGGCGAGCTGCAGTCAGAAGTGTTGATGCTCAAGCAAGGTCTCAAGGAGTCAGATGGGCAATGCTATCTTCTTTTCTCTGAGCTTCAGAAGGCATGGGCTGTCTCGACTCGTTTACAGACGGAAGTCGACTCTCGGGAGATGGAGATCTTCAGGCTTGAGGTGAGATTCCAAAGTGTTTCCCTGTGCGCACACTTCTTTTCATTTTCCCTTTTTTTTTTTTTTCTGCCAAGCAGTGTTGCATACCCTGACGGTGGGCGCCCCTTGATTGGTCGGCACCTACCGGTCGGGGGTCATCGGCACCCCGCAAAAAAAAATAAAAAAATAAAAATAAAAATGGGTCCAGAAACCCCAATAACCGCACCAACACCCCCATACCAGTCCCCAACACCCCCATACACCCCCTCAAAACCCACAAACCGCCCCCCAACACCCTCATTCCTCCCCAATACCCTTGAACCACCTTTATACCCCCCTATATCTTCCTTATTACCCGGCCCCCCTCCGCCCCCCCCCCCCCTCCCTCCTCCCCCCAACTCCCCCATACCCCTCCCAATCCCCATAAGTTTCTCAGTGGATTTGGGCTTTACTCAGCAAGCGCAGTAAAGCCCCCAACTCAGATTTGAAAAGTAATCAGTGGATGGCTGCTTTCTGACTGGTCGGCAGACCGCCGACCGGTTGGCCCTACTGGTCGGCTGCAAAACGGTTGGCGGTCCGGGTCGGCGGTCGGCAGCTATGCAACCCTGCTGCCAAGTAAGTAGACGTTCCTTAATCGTTGAGGCAGTAGTCTAAACCTCTGAGACTGCCTTCGCTTTTGCTAAACCGGTTTTGACTGGTACATTGAGCTCCAGGTGAGCTTATCAACCTCTTTAGCTCATGGTTCATGGAGCTGGTTTACAGTGTTCGGCCAGGCTGTCGAACTGTGAATGACCGTTGCTTCAGAGGTAATGGACCTGGTTTTCCCCTGCACACAATGCAGCCTCATCATGACTGTATTGTATGAGGAAATAGCTTGTATCCATTCATGACCAGGGCTTGGCTCACTGTGCACTGCAGCTGTTAGCACTGGACAAGTCCGTTTGGGGAAGACAGTATCTTCTGTTTGCGGAGCAGCTCAATGAGGTGTGATGTGAGGAGGGCTTGGCTCATTGCGCACCGCAGCTGTTAGCACCAAACAATCCCGGGATGACAGTTTGTGATATGGTTTACAGTTGATTTTGAGTCCGCATGCACAGTTTAAGCAACTGGCTCACAGAAGAAAGGTGTGCATGAACCATGAATTGATTCTTGTTATGGTAGGATTTGATCTTTGAATCTCCCTTTGATCAATGTCATGGACAGCAAATCTGAATGCATTCTGTTCTGATGGTCGATTGACGGCGAACATCTTAAAAAGGAAAGCAAAACTACAGCAGCTGCGTTCTGTATTTGTCGGCCGAAACACAGATGAGATGAGAATGAACGTTGGGATACTACCGGCAGTCATGATTTCAAATCATGTTTTCTGCCACACTGTCTATGGTTCTCTTCGTTTTCCGATTGGAGAGAGACCATGACAGCTGCTGTTCCTGCGTTTAACCCAACTTTAACGTTTTTGTCTGGCTTCTTTTTTTTTTTTTTTTTTTTTTTTTTTTTTTTTTTTTTTTTTTTTTTTTTTTTTTTTTTTTTTTTTTTTTTTTTTTTTTTTTTGGCGTAGGTTCTGTGCCCTGGTTGGCAACTTGATGTTAAATGTTGTTGCTTTTCAAAATCCCCTCCAATGGCGTGTGTAATACTGTGTATGCTATTCCTTTGTGTGAGATGTGTTAGCAAGTGTTGCATAATATGCATATCCAGAACTGGTCAATTTATAATCCATCCCCCCCCAAGCTTGGTGCAATTGTGTCCCTTTATGTGCTGTGCTTTTGCGGTTACTTTCTGTGCCGTCTGTGTCAGCAAGTGCTGCACATCCACAACAGTCCAGTGACTCCAGTCTATAATCCAGCTCTACAGCCGTCGTGTGGCAAGCTCGGTGCGGTTCTGTCCTTTATGGCGTGGGGTGATATAATCACTACAGTCTTGGAGACATGGTCCTTTAAAGTTTAAAGCACTTATCCAGAAATAATAAACCCCTTGCTCTGCAGTATAACGGACAGTATTCATTTCTCTGGGTTACCCAGCTGGGGCAAAGTGGCAGGAGCATGACAGAGACCATACTGGTTTGATTGGGCTTAAACCGCCAGTACACCCGGGCCTGCAGGCCCCTTACTGCACACCAAGCGTTTCCGCACCGCCAGCAGTGCACTTTTTTTCTTTTTTGGCTGGTGCCGCCAGCGATCGTGGTCCGGTAGGCCGGGCCTCCAAAATTTTCGTAGGCTATGAGTTTCTTTTTCAGCAAGGCTTGGGGCGGTGTACTGGCCTTTTAACGTCATGTCAGCTACTACGTGGTTGCATGGCTTTCAGCAGGGCCGTTGTTTTGGTTCTACGGGCTATACCCGGCTGCGATACAGGGGCATGGTTTTGAAAGTGGCCCTACTGTTGTGATTGTGCTCTGAAAGTGGCGCTACTGGTCTTATTGGGGCTTACAAAGCTTTTTCGCTGGATTCAATGCCTGTTATGTGACTTCAGAAAAAAAGGGAATGGTAGCGGATTCCCTCCCAGGCTTTACCATCCCTTTTTCTCTTTTTTTTTCCAGTCTCTCTTTGGCACATGGGTGCCAACATGCTCATGCCCAGTTTACCCTCAGACACACCGTTTCTGTCCCAGGGCATATTCGCAACTGCGTTTCCCTCAATGTGTTGCCCAGAACGACGTCCCCATGCATTCGAGAAAGTTATATTGTTGGTATGCTTTTAGAGATGAATTATGAAGCAAGAACTGCTCCGATATCGTCTCCTAGGTTGACGCTTTGTGAAATTTCATACTGGTCCGTATCATTTCACTTTCGCTCAATGGTAAATGGGATATGAAACCGAGGGCAGGTAGTATTTTGTCATTTTTCTACTGACGACGGCGTTTGTTTCATCAACTTAATTCACATCCTTTTTTTTTCTTCATAGAGAACTAAGAGAAACAAAAAAAAATAAAATGAATTATATGATGTGGGGTGGTGCAGATGTGTTTTCTTCAGGGAAGGGTTTGTAGACAAGGTTGGTTAGTTGGAAAGATGCTGTTGATAGGAAATTTATAACTGAAGGAAAAAGAGTAAGAGGGGAAAAGTGACTGCTGTAGATCGTGTCGGACAGTCTGCCCTCATGTACCCTTGCTGACCGAGCCCACACCTCTCCTGTGCTTTGTTGGCAATGTGATGTTCGTGACATGGCTTAGTGTTCGGTCGTGCATGCATGTGTGTGCTTATCTGTAGGCAGAAAACAAGTTGACGGAGGACCGAAAGAGGAAAGGCGAGGAACAGATCAGATCAGAATCTGCCAAGTTGAGGCTTGATATGGAAGAGGAGAAAAGGCGTCTCATTGCGGAGAAGGATGCAGAGAAGCGAAAGGCCCTCTCTGAAAAGGATGCTGAGAAGCGAAAAGAACTCTCAGAAAAGGATGCGGAAAAACGTAAAGCTCTCGCAGAAAAGGATGCAGCGATAGAATCTCTACAGGTCTGCAAGTACCTTTGTTATTTGCCTCTCCAGTCCCCTCTTTCTCGGTTAAGGAGCACATCTTTTGCCTGTGCAGTGCTTGTTGTCTGTTTAGGGGCGCAGCTTTTAGAAAGCTCGTTTTACCATCTATGCATATATGGCAATCTTCTCCAGTAGATGGCATGACATGGCACACGTACTTCAGCATGTTCTCCTTCCCCCCCGTCCACTCCATCCCTCTTACCTCTGGGCCAAAAGCAACTTTGAATATGCGAGAAAGAGTATGTTTTCTGTGAAATTGCAATGTATTCAGTGGCTGAGCATAGCAGCCCAAGGGTCGCCAACTCAGAATGCCTAAGGAGAAACTCCGAGGGCGCCTGGGGAGAAAATTACGTGGAAGATTTTTGTTTTGAGTATGCCCGGTGTCCACTCCATCCCTCTTACCTCTGGGCCGAAAGCAACTTTGAATATGCGAGAAAGAGTATGTTTTCTGTGAAATTGCATGTATTCAGTGGCTTAGAGCATAGTAGCCCAAGGGTCGCCGACTCAGAATGCCTAAGGAGAAACTCCGAGGGCGCCTGGGGAGAAAACTACGTGGAAGATTTTTGTTTTGCGTATGCCCGGTGTCTTTTTTGTCTCTGGCAAGTCTCTTCGAATTCCTAAGTAGAAACCTTGCGGGCGCCTGGGGAGAAAATTACATGGAAGATTTTCGTTTTGCGTACGCCCAGTGTCGTTTTTTGTCTCTGGCAAGTCTCTTCGAGTGTCTCCAACCACTACGACGAGTCTCTTCAAGTGTCTCCAACCACTCTGGGAGTCTCTTAGAGTCTCCAACCACTCTGGCCAGTCCTTTCTGCTCGAGCCTCTATGAAGAAATGTGGCGAGAAAGAGTAAATGGAGCAAGCTCCAAATATCTGGATCAGGTCAGATCCAGGTCCTAACCCTGGGCCAGGCTGGTTTTGCCGAAGTCTCGTGCAGATAACGATGTCGTGCTCTTTGTTTGCCGAAAGCTTTCTGGACGGCTTTGGTGCTTTCTGAACCCTTTCTTGAAACGAGCTACTGTCTCTGGTCTTTATCGCTGTACCTAAACTGAAAGTTGCACCAAATACAGCAATAATGACCGGGTGTTCTATTCGAGTGGACAGTAGTCTTTTGTCCAAGGTCTCCCACACATTCCATGTTGTGCTGTCTTTGTTTGGTGAAAGCTATCCGCAGGGGATGCTTGGTTTCTCCAGACCCCTCTGCGGATGGCTTTGGAGCTTTGGAACTCTCTTCTTGAGACAAGCGAAGCTCTCTGCGAGGATGCTTGCTTTCTCGAACCCGTTAACTTTTGATCTTTCTACATCTCTCTCTTTCCTTGTTTTTTAAAAGGAAATAGAGCTGTCTTCTCCTCATATGGGGGACAGTTGTATTTTTTACTACCCTATTTTCTTCTCTCAATATGTCTCTCGCCAAATACCCATATCTATACGTCTCTGGTTAACTACCCATATCTGTGTCCTACCCTTAAACCCGAGGAAAAAGCCTTGGGTGCGTTTTCAAAGAAGGGATAACCCGGAGAACACCTTGCCATCATGAAAACACGTCTGCTGGTACCATAGTAGCTGCATGAATCAGAGCTGATACTGGGGTAGGGCCGTCCACAGCGTCTGGTAACCAAGTATGGAGTCCTATTTGTGCGGATTTTCCTACGGCTCTGCATCTTCACGGAGAATTCAATTTCACTGAGCCAGACAAACAAAAGAGTTTGTTATTGTTAATGGAGAAAAGATTGGACATTCTTCTTGTACTTGTTCCATGGATGAGGTAGTAGATCCTGCAATTACTATCAAAGTGATTGGACATCACTGGTATTGGACTTATGAGTATTCAGAGTACTTCTTTGTTTTGTTTTCCTTGTTTTTTTTTTCCATTTCGAAAAAATAAAGGGGTAGCACATAAAATTTGTGTGTGCATCTGGTCCCCTCAGGAGTCGAACTGATGATACGTTCAGAAACAGTTAACGTGTGTAGCATTCAGCCATGTATGTGCCTTGTGGTTCTATTTTGTTGTAATGATTTTTGTCTTATAATGATTTTTTGATGCTTATGGAGGCAGATGAAATTGCAGCGGATGGAAAAGGACTTGGTGAAGGCAACAGAGGCAGCTAAGAGGGCAGCTGAACATTTGGCTGAGCAGGCTCGACAACAAGTCTCAGCAGAGGAGAAGCAAAGGCAAATAGAAGAACTTGCACAGCGGAAGGCTTTGGAAATGGCGCGGCCTGACAAAGAAGCTCTTGAAACAGCACAGAAGGAGTGTAATAGGTTGAAAGAGGAAAGAGAGCAGATTGCTGCCGAGCTAAAATCGGAATGTGCAAGGCTGCAGGAAGATCTCCAGAAGAGAGATCAGTTAATTGAGGTATAAGACAAAGTTATTCGACAGTCCTGTTAGCACACTCCAATTTCAATTTCAATTTCAATTTCAATCCATGTTAGGATCTGGGCGGCCCCGATAGAATTAGCTATATTTTATGCTTTTATTTGGCAAATTTCTCAAGACAAAATAGCCACTTTTTTTGATCCTGCAGGAGGAGGAGATCCTGTTTTATTTCAACATCTGTTTTGGTTCTTTGGACTGCAGAGAACCGCCTGGGCGTTCCTGTCACAAAAAAATGTTCGGAAGTCGGAAAAAAGTTTAAGAAATAGTTTTTCAGAAACTCCAAAAAAAACATCTGTTGTGTAAAATGGTAGTACAACCAACGTTGGACTGACGGCCATCTTCAAATGTCTCTTTCTTTTCAAGATAGAAAGCAAATCAATGTACATTGTACACCCCTTAAAACCCCTCTAAACCCATTTGTACCACCTTTCCTCAACCCCCACCCCAACCCCCACCCCCGTCCCCCAAATCAACTTCCAAGTTTTCAAGAAAAAGGCAGATTCTGCATGCTTTTGATAAGCGGATTCACACCGTGCAACCAGGAAAAAAAAAAGGTAAAAAAAACGGAATTCTCGGGCATTTTAGGCGGCCCGGATTGGGAGAGGGTGGAACCTGCCCCTACTGCCTGGCCATAGTTCATGCGTCACGCAGCCTAAAACTCTCAGAGTACTCATTCTGATGGACAAATGATCACAAATGATTACTGATCAACCCAACGGCAAAACCCTAAATGTGTAGGGGTCATAGGTGAGTCTCTGCCCTCTGAACGCTTGCCCCCTTGGTGTTTCCACCGTGCCAGATAATGCGATGCACGGGTTGGTTGTGGGAGCCCTCTGCCCCCTTGCCCCCTTCGAATGATCACACAAAATCAAACGGGCCGCAAAGCTGCGGAAACAGTCGATCACCACATTTGTCTCTGCAGTGTTCATTATCTTCTTTGATGTTTTAAGTACCCACTTTGTGAAGGTTGGTGCACTCGCAGCTATTCCACAACATTTTGTGCAGGATTTCTGGCAGGTGTGGGTTGGAAGTGGGGCTGAGATAGAACCGAAACAACCTATTTGTAAAATGCAGAGAACAACGGTTCGGGAACATGCCAAAGCCAAAGCCTGAAAGCAAAACAAGTCCACATTTTCAAACAGAATGCTCTGACAAAGTTGCATGACACCTACGTTCTGTATATTAGAGCTACCAAGTAACGACTCCTCTGGCCGCTTTGCAGATCTCACTCTTGGGTTGCAATTGGAACTCTCGTCGCTTCAAATAACAATGCTACTACCATGCACAGAGAATCAGTTTTGCGAGGAGGAGTTTTTCTTTGTCGTTATGTCTCATGTTTTGTTTCCCTCTGACTCTGGCTTGTGTTTGGCTCTTTTGACTTTGTCTTGCTATAGCAACTTCGCGAGGAGAAGGAGCAGCTGGAGCAACAGAAGGAGCGTATTAGTGTGGTGAGTAAGGGAGCAAAGCAAGCCTTGGTGGGCAATCGGCTGATGAAGCTGTCCAGCGAAAAGCATGCTCTCACTGGAAATGGCTGCACTATCTCTCTCCAGCAATGCTGAAAGTAGTGCACCTCTACCGTCTTCCCCTGAATAGAATGTGCAGTCAATTATAGCTGTATCTGGGGCAACATTCAATCTAGATACAGCGATAATGACCGCATGTTCTATTCGAGGAAAGACAAATAGTTAACACCAATTTGTATTATGTAATGCTTTTTTTTTTCCACGTCTTGCTAGCGCGATCGAGATATTACAGCTTGTTGTAGAGTAGACTTTCCTATTCCACCTTATCCATATGCTGCTCCTAATTGAAATGTCAAAATAAATGATTGATTTTGTCTTTTCTGATGTATATATTTTTTGGATTCTCCAATTGTGGATCATACAATCTCACCAGGCAGCAAAGTTACGAGGAGTGATTCGTCAATGAGAGGGTATACAACTTCTCACTTCTGAGAAGCTGCTACTTTGTGCTAGGCAAACAGTAAAGAAAACAAAACAGCTATGCTTACTTTGTTTCCTCCCTCCCTCCCCCCCTCACCAAGGTTGGAATCCAGGAAAGAGTAAGAACAACAAACACTTCAAAATTTAAATACAGCAAATACTTGGGCAGGTTGCGGGTTCAAATCCCACAATCCCAACAGTCCTGCCAGCTCAGTTGCAAGCGCTATGAGAAAACTACAAGCTCCTATTGAAAAAGGGGGTGTGCATTTATTTGCACGGAAAAAAAAAAACACAGAAGTATGAAAAGTTAAGTACAAAAGTACACTGTGAAGTTTAGAGCTCAGTATGCAGAGCATGAGATCTGAAAATTGCTAATTGCTGCAATTTTAGAATCGAATGCTGAAAGGCGATGACCTCATCTTCTGTTCAGTAGGAACATCGTCTTGGTATGAACACCATGGTTCCACTTCACTGTTCGCCTAAATAAGATTGCACTGCAAAAATCTCAACAGCACTTTCGGAATGTGCTATGTTTGTCACGAGTCCTATGCCCTACACACGAATTACGGCCACTTCTTCTTGTATGAATTCTTAGATTGTCAAGGGGCCGTGAATTTATGGGCAATTGAGCTCTAGGCTGGGCCGTCGCCTGGCCAGGCATGCCCGGGCCAGCTGGGCTGGGGGGATCGCCTGGCAAAACCAGGCAGGTCAAAAAACAGGGAAGGATCTCCAAAAAAAAGAAACTGACTTCAGGCCAGGAGTGCGCTGGGCCTGAGCAGTCAGAATCCGGCCTTACGTTCCATTTCGGTGGTGGGTCACCCAGGAGTGTTTGGGGGGTATAAAGTTACTCTAAACAGTGACTAGAGGGGTTTAAAAGGGTATATCTTACCTCATTTCTCCTCATTTATTTTTATCTTAAAATTAATAAGGAATTTCGAGGGGACCCTC